TGTGCACAGTTTTCTCCATGTATGCTATATTTAAAGAAGAAGTTCAAAGTTAAAAACCTAAAGGGTGGCACCTAAAAATATGGGCTGAAGTAGACCGTGGCTGATTAGAAAATTATTCCACCCAAAAGCAAATACTTTATGGGGAACATTCAAGATAACTCATTGGAAGAAAGCTCAAGACCTATGCTCCAGCCCTTCATCAAGCCAGGAAATTTATTTTATTTTATTTTATTTTTTAAAGATTTTATTTATTTATTCATGAGAGACAGAGAGAGAGGCAGAGGGAGAAGCAGGCTCCCAAGGAGCAGAGAGCCCGATGCGGGACTCAATCCCAGGACCCTGGGATCATGACCTGAGCCGAAGGCAGACGCTCAACCATCTGAGCCACCCATCAAGCCAGGAAATTTAAAACAAAAAACAAAAAACACTAAACTCATACTTTTCCCTTTTGTGTGTTCCCACTTCTTTCTGTCCTATAGCTGTCTGTACGTTAAGAATTTTTTCCCTCACCCAGGCCAAGTGGGGGCTCTGTACTATAAACCTGTAAACCCATCTCCAATGGCTTACTTTACAAGATAGGAGAAGGTATATTTGAAAGGACAACTCTTCCTGGCTAACAGGAATTTTTTCCCCTAACTTTTACCATCTATAACTACTTATGAACAGAGACAAACACCTCCAAGGACAATATTGTCTGAACAGCGCTAATACTCAGGAATACTAATAATTGTTGTATTTTTCACTTAATTTATTCTTTATGGTACTAACCCCTACAGTACACTGCATCCTTAATACCAAAACAAAAACAAATTTAAAACCCTGCCTCTTGGGGCACCTGGGTGGTTCAGTCAGTTGAGCATCTGCTGATGTGGGAAACAGAGGCAGAAGAAAAACTATTAAATTTCCTTACTACCTACAGCCCATTGACAAGTCCTTGAAACAGGCAGAGTGACATTACTCTAGGGACTCAACTGCCTCGATGTTGACATTTAGCTAAGGGCAAAAGGCAATCCTAGCCCCCCTACCCCACCCCAGGATCCTGTAAGTCTACTTTAACATATAAAAATTCCTTTAGAAATTTCCTTTATCTCTAAAGCCCCAAGATACATGTTGGCAATCACCCCCTAAGCATATGGCCCACTGATACACATTGGAAGGGTCTCATGACTAAGGTTTTATTACAATTAGATGGTAATAAATGACCTTTTCCCAACAATAGGTAGCCCCCTCAAGGTCCTAGAAACCTTGCTTCCAAATTCCTTAAGAACTTATGCTATCCATAACCCCCTCCCAACTTCAAAGTATATAATGGGCCACTCCTCAGGACCCCAGTGCAGCTCTTTCTACCCATGGGTCCTGTCCCCATGCTTTAATAAAATCACTTTTTTACACCAAAGACATCTCAAGTATTCTTTCTTGGTCATCAGCTTCAAACCCTAATGTTCTTTCCTACATCATCTGCCTCCAGCTCAGGTCATGATCTCGGGATCCTGGGATCCAGCCCCACTCAGGCTCCCTGCTCAGCGGGGAGTCTGTTTCTCCCTCTCCCTCTGCCCCTCCTCGCTGCTCTTGGTACACTCTCTTTCTCTTTCAAATAAGTAAGTAAAATCTTTTTAAAAATAAATAAATAAATAAAAAATAATAAATAAATAAATAAATAAATAAATAAATAAATAAATAAATAAATAAATAAATAAATAAATAAATAAATAAATAAATAAATAAATAAATAAATAAATAAATAAATAAATAAATAAATAAATAAATAAATAAATAAATAAATAAATAAATAAATAAATAAATAAATAAATAAATAAATAAATAAATAAATAAATAAATAAATAAATAAATAAATAAATAAATAAATAATAAAACCCTGCCTCTTGGCTGCTCAATTTCCTGAAAAGAGAGACAAAAACATAACAATGATGGTTACTAATTGCTTTCCAAATTTTTGGGGGTGATAATTTAAATTTTTTGAATCTTCTCATTGTCCTGACATCCAAAGTGGGCTTTTGGATGTGTACCAGTGCCTTGTCTGACATTGAGTGAGTCCAGGGCCCCCTCACTACTGCCCATGTGGTACAATATCCCAGTTAGCTGCACATCACAGCTTGCTTCCTCTCAGAGTGAGCTACTCCAACCTCTGAACCAAGGAAAAGCCTGAATGCATCAGGCTAAAATAATAGTGATAGATATATTGCCAACAGGATAAAACTGGGCATTACTGAGCCAAGATAAGAGATATGAAAGACACCTGTTGAGGCCATTTAGGGTTTCTTGTTAATATTTTTTTTTCTTTTCTTTTTTTTTTAAATTCTTTTGAGACACAGAGATACAGAGAGAGAGAGCATGAGCAGGGGGAGAGGCACAGGGAGAGGGAGAAGCAGGCTCCCTGCTGAGCCAGGAGCCCGATGCGGGGCTCCATCCCAGAACCCTGGGATCATGACCTGAGCCGAAGGCAGACGCTTAGCCATCTGAGCCACCCAGGCGCCCCTTCTTGTTAATATTTAAACACACACACACACACAGATCGAAACAGTCTTATCTGGATGCTTAAACTTCAGAGACTAGAATGAAGCCTCAAACCCTCCCCCACCCACAAAAAAAAAAGTAGGGGAAAAGAAATTTTATGAGAGTTGTGGAAAATTTGAGGACCAAAGGACCAAAGACCCTGGAATGGGAATCACCAAAGGGGTTGTATGTTGCCTTCTCTGGAAATAGGAGAGCTAAGATGGATTCAAATTCTCCACATCTTGGGTCTCTTGCCTATCTTACCACAATGCTAACTACATGGTAAAGGCACAATTTTTTAAAATGAGCAAGAATTTCATAAAAATGAGCATTGAGTAATATTTTATGATTCCACCTACATGAGGTACCTGAGAATAGACAAACTCATGGAGACTAATTACCAGGAGCTGGAGGAAGAGAGGAATGGGGAGTTAGTGTTTAAGGGGGACAGTTTCTGTTTGGGATGATGACAAAGTTCTGGAGATGGATGGTAGTAATGACTGCACAACCATGGGAATGTCCTTAATGCCACTGAATGGTACACTTAAACATGGCTCAATGGTAAATTTTACATTTTGTATATTCTAGCACAATTTTTTTAATTTTTAGTAAAATTATAAAATTAATAAAAATTTTAAAATAAAACACAAGCAGTGAGTATCTGGCTAGATAAGGATAGTGACCTGTGATCTCAGGAGGCTCTGACCACCTTTTTACAGAAGTAGCTGGAACCTGGGCATCCAGTGTGTGGAAGGCCCATAAAGGAGAATCAGGGGCTGCCTATATGTAGATGACAGAAGCCATCTCTCCCACTTGAAGATGGTGCATTTTTCTAGTATAGAGTTCTGCTTCATGTGGAGGAATCTTTCATACATTTGAAGATAGTAAGCAAAAAAACACTACGCAGGACGAGGAGTTGGGGGGCTCAAAATTTCTGGACTTTGTTGCAACCTGGGTAAAGTACCCTTCTCGGGACTTAGTTTCCATTTCTACAAACTAAAGCAATGAGACCAAATGACACATGGCCTCTACCAGCTCTATGATTTCATGGTTCTAAGTTATCCTTTAACGTCTTTTTCCCAAACAGTTCCAACTTAAGTGCAATGACGAAAACAGTTTCTCATCTCATTAGTCATCACTGTTCTGTTCTGAACTTTCAAGTGTCTTCTTCTTTTCAAAGGAAGAGTGATCCAAATGAACATACCAGTTTCATAAAGCTAACCTGAGTGCAGACTGTGGAGGACACACCACTGTCACTTCTAATTATAGCACAAAATCACTGTGGCTTTTTTTGGGGGGGGGGGAGCTTTCTTTCTTGTTTAGTTTTTTAATTGCAGTATAGTTAACAAACAGTTGTATATTAGTTTCAGGTGTACAATATAGTGATTCAGCAATTCCATAAAAACCCAAATGCTCGTCACGGTAGGTACACTCCTTAATCCCCATCACCTATTTACTTTTTTACACCATACACAAAAATAAATTCAAAATGGATTAAAGACCTAAATATGAGACCTGAAACCATAAAAATCTTAGAAGAGGGCACAGGCAGTATGTCTCCAACATCAGCTATAGCAACATATAGTATTTCTAGACAGGTCTCCTGAGGCAAGAGAAATAAAAGCAAAAATAAACTATCGGGACTACATCAAAATAAAAAGCTTCTGCACAGTGAAGGAAACAATCAACAAAACTAAAAGGCAACCTACTGAATGGGAGAGGATATTTGTAAATGGCATAATCGATAAAGGGTTAATATCCAAAATATATAAAGATCTTTTTCAGTTTTTTAAAGCAATAATATACTGCGGAATCATTTTCAAATGTTAAGAAAATACAGTCATTGGGAATCAAGTTATATAGTAACATTTTAACTATTTTCCTTTTCCTTAATCAGCTGGGTGATAAAAAGCAGCCTGATTGCTTTTCAATAGGGAAGAATGAGAGTATGAACAAAGACACTTTTTATAACCACCTTCCACTATTTAGAAGCAATAAGGAACATTCAGGGTTGTTTACCTAAACCTGTAGGTCCTCTATTCAAATTAATTCATTCTATTCAGTTATTCAAAGTGCTGTTAAAAAAGAAAGTTCTTTTTAAAGATTTCTTAATACAGTTAAGAACAACTGACACCACTTCAAATGAATCAAGTGTGTCTGTAATATAGACTGTGTATATAAAATGGTTAAGGTGGGTTCAGTTTAAAGAAGTTTTCAAATGTCTGGGTTTTGCTTGAATGATGCCAGATAATCAGTCTGATTGAGCAATTCACTCATTAATCTATTGATTTGGTAATTAATAAAGTTGGCCTAAAAAAAAGCTTAAAAGCACTTGAGTGTAAGTGGACTAAGTCACCTTAGAGAATAAAATGGTATGAAAACTAGAAATCAGCATCCCAAGGAGGGATAAAGGACTGAAATTAGACCAACAAAGTAGAAGTTAAGAATACATCCCCCTATAAAATAACATACCAACAATATTCCAATTGAATTGTCTTCATTAGATTGTTTTTATTTTTAAGATTTTTCTTTTTTAAATACATAGTGGATTGGATTACTAAGTCATATTTCACGGATGCATACAGGGAAACCAATAATGCGTCAAATACATAAAACCATAAGAACAGATTTCATTCAAAATTACAATGGCAAATTAATATACAAAAATGCATAAAATCTTTATTAAATAAAACCTGACACAATACTTCTTTTTTTTTTTTTTTAAGATTTTATTTATTTATTTGAGACAGAGAGCATGAGAGGGAGGAGGGTCAGAGGGAGAAGCAGACTCCCTGCCGAGCAGGGAGCCCGACGCGGGACTCCATCCCGGGACTCCAGGATCATGACCTGAGCCGAAGGCAGTCGCTTAACCAACTGAGCCACTCAGGCGCCCGACACAATACTTCTTAATATAAGAGAATGGATTATGAACTAGTTTATAGTATATAAAACAGTTCCTAAAGTAAAATAAAACTTATAGATAAAATCTGTCTACAAACACTGCCGTTTTCCTTTTATGACTACTTCCCCTCTATCTGGACATTCTCTTTCCATATACTTACTGCCTTGTGCTGTTCCCTGCATCTTCTCAACTATGTTCCTCCTCCTGGACAGTGACCCATTCCCTATAAAGTCTCTTCAAAACAACACCGCCATCATAAACCTCCCATTGCTACCAAGTTCTGATCTTGCCTGGCTCTCCCAGGAAAGGGCAATAAGGTAATACACAGTAGTTCCAAGCGATAACAGGCCTTATGTTATCTGATTAGGTACATTATGTAGATGGCTACTTCCTCGTGCTAGAAGTGAGCTATTCCTGATTCTCATTGAATTCTGTACTTGTAGTCAACAGAAAGATACAGAAATAAAAACAGAGACAGAGAGAGAAAGGAACATTATAGACCTTTTTAGCCTGGGAACAAACATCCTAAGACATCTAAAAATTCCACTGGGTATCAGGGGAATATCTGAGGCATGGTGGTGGTCAAAAGCCTTAAAACTTAGCTACAACGACTCAAAATTTTTATATAGGACCAACTGCCATTAGTCCCATAAAACCAGAACTAACGGCAGGACCCAAGTACAATGCAGGAGTACCAAATACCTGTTAAAATAAATTGTAAACAAAACCCAGCACAGATTAAATCTGAACAAATTCTTTTCTACTTAAGACGATGACCCCCAACTTGGAGACCACCAGCCCCTACCAGCTTCCAGTGATGACAAGCGGTTCCTGAATCCACATACATAGCCAGCACTGCCAATGGACTAAATAAACCACATGTTTCTCAAGTATAGGCATGACTACTCCTCAAATGTAAATAGTTCCTGATGTGATTAATGAAATCCAATACATTCAAAGAAAGTACTAAATTTATAATTAGTTCATCACTGAATATTTTCTCAGCTAATACACAGTAAGTAAACAACCAGTAAAATGAGTGAGTCCTTGAATATTTTGCCGTTGTAAAAAGTTACTTCATACCAACAAAAGGGTTAGGAATCACCTGCCTCGGGTTCTATACTGAACTCTCCAGACAAAGTTTGAGGGACCCAGATTCCAGTGCCTCAATACGTACATACATAGGCTGACTTCCCTTCACAGAGATGAATGACAAAAATACACGCATGGTAGTAAGATTTACTGATATGCATAAAAAGAATGACTTTTCATTTAGAGTAACAAAATTTGAAGTAACAAAAGGAAAATAAACAAATATATACACATACACTAAAATCAATATAAAAATACATTATTGGGTCTCCTCCATAGATCTACTAATCTACACAGAGGATACTGAAATGCATACGCTGCCTATCATCACTGTCAGCTATATATGCTCACAGGGCTGTTTTGCACCTTCTTTCCCACTTCTACTCTGTAAAGAGCTCCAGATTCATTAGCCAAGTGGCCCTTCTTTAAAAACAATAATAAATGAAGAAGGAAAAATAAATATGAACTCATCGGCAAATCTATGGCAGGTTGATTGCCTGGTCCTCCTTGAATTTGGGGATCTTCTTAAACTCACTTTGCTTCTTGAAGAAAAGTTGGGCCAGGATGTGGTCTGCTGTGGCCTGGAGATAATCGTCCATGTCAAGGGTTTGCAACCGGCAGTGGAAACCAAAACAAGATGTATCAGCACCAAAGTCCTCAGATTCCTACACAGATCTTACGGTCATCAAGGCACTTGCAAGCCAGCAAGGTACTTGGCTGTGTAACTTTATGGCCGCTACGAATTCCTGCGAACGGTCACCTCATATGCCTGTCTTCCCTTGCCACGGGGGGCTCACCTTTTCAATTCTGAGAATAAGGAAAGTCCGATTGATGGCTAGAGGTGCTGAGGCATCGGAAAGTTTCTTTGGAAGGGACGTCTATCCTACTGAAAGGGAGTTCTCTTTGATGAGTGAAGACCCCCTGTTTTCCTGTGCGCAGGGACTAGTAACAAAAGGGCTTCTCAGAGCTCCATGCCCAGTGGCACGTGACAGAGGCAAACCTCGCTGTCCTCCTACTCCACAGCCAGACACAGGCCTTCCTCCATGGGGTTGATAATCTCTGCCTGTCTGGCCAGGCTATCCAGTCGGCTGGGTCTGACCATCTGTCCTTGTTCCCTCTCTCTGTCACGCTCTTTCCTCTCTGACATTAACTCTCTTTCTCAGTCAGCCTGTCTCAATTTGCCCCTCTGGATCTGTCTCACTGTGTGTTTCTGTCTCTCAATGTGTCTATGCGTATGTGTTTCTCAGTTGGTTCGGAACTTGGGGAATTAGGAGAGAATGTGATATATTCGATCCCTTTATCACCAAATAAGATTATTTGATTCTCCTTCTCTTCACACATAGATTCTGCCAGTTCATTCATTTATTCACTCAGCTCACATTTACTGAGGGCCTCCTGTGGTCCAGATACCTTGCTTAGCAGAATATTCTGCACATCTGAGGTACTCAGCAATCTCTCTAAAACTGTTTTATACTCACCTGGTCTCCGGTGCTGAAGGCAAGAAGGCAAAGCAAATCCTCATCACATGAGCTCTTAATGTAATGTTGGGTTCCAGTGGGGAAAAATACCACATCTCCAATGTGAACATCAAACTCTATGATACCCTGAGTATTAATAATGCCCACCTAAAGAGGGAGGGGGAAAAACTATGTTGAAGTTAAGCAAATAAAATCAAATATTTATTAAGAAGATGTATTAATAGGGGCGCCTGGGCGGCTCAGTCATTAAGCATCTGCCTTCGGCTCAGGTCATGATCCCAGGTCCTGGGATCGAGCCCCGCATCGGGCTCCCTGCTCCGCGGGAAGCCTGCCTCTCCCTCTCACACTCCCCTTGCTTGTGTTCCCTCTCTCGCTGTGTCTCTCTCTGTCAAATAAATAAATAAAATCTTAAAAAAAAAAAAGATGTATTAACAGTGAAGAACAGATGAATAAAAACATATAATTATAAAAGGACTTCTTAGTAAGGGTAAATAGCAGAAAATAGAGGCCATCTTTTACATAAAATCTTCTGTTTCTGAGACATAGCCCCACAGAAGTCAAAAGACACTCTATTTCAGAAATGTTCCTCAAAATGCATTAGTGAGTTCAATACTGTGGAACATCATGCAAAAACAACATCAATCACTATGTTCTAATTAAGGATCATAAATTCCCTAATCAGGCAGAAGGCTTACATCCCACTGTTTTATTGCCCTCATGCCCTCCTTTTGACTTTCTCCAGGAAATTCAGCCTTCCAGGACAGCAGCATCCTAATAGTCCCCCTTAAAGGGATCAGAAACAAAATGTGCACACAAATGCACACCCATGAGCACACAAGCACACCAAAAATAAAATCTTATCCTTGAAATGTAATTTGGGAGTGACTGCAGTGCCCTTTTCCAGGGTATTCAAGCCTTCGCCTCTAAAAACATAAAACAAAACTTTTGCTATGCATGCCCTAACATGCGCAAGTCAGTCTGGTTTGGTTCTTTCTGTCAGGATGGAGACGGGGAAAAGCTAGTAGTTCATTTGACCTGGGTAGGCCATTGGAGATTTGCCCAGGGAGCCCCGTGAAAGTCCAGAAGAACTGTGGTCAAGTCACTACCATAACGTGCTATTCGGTGTGGCTTTTCTTGTCACCAAGACAAGTGTACATCAGGGCGCCTGGGTGGCTCAGTCGGTTGAGCGACTGCCTTCGGCTCAGGTCATGATCCTGGAGTCCCGGGATCGAGTCCCGCATCGGGCTCCCTGCTCGGCACGGAGTCTGCTTCGTCCTCTGACCCTATCCCCTCTCAGGTGTTCTCTCTCTCTCATTCCCTCTCTCTCAAATAAATAAAATCTTAAAAAAAAAAAAAAAAAGACAAGTGTACATCAGAAGGATCCTGCATAAACAGGGATACGTGGTCACCCTGCTGACACTCCACACCTCCCCAGCCACCCCCACTCACATTACACTGAGGGGCCAACAGTGATGTCACAGTCCCCAAAGGGCAACACCTTAAACCTTGCATTACCTAAAAATGTGAAACTCTGAAAATGTAAAATGTTTCAAACACTTCACCCTATGTGATAACTTCTTTATCATTTCTAACATGGTCTTAGCCATTTCTCATGCTAATAGCAAAGTTAGAAGCTACCTAGCATGGCCTGCATGGTATTTTCTGTGGAAACTGTATCCAGAAAGCCATTAACACCACGTCTTTCAATGTTACCAATAACTGAACCAAAACAAAGAAAAACCTCCTGTTTGCTTCTTTCTGCATTAAAAAGGAAAGTTCAAAAAGCTGTTTGTGGAGAAATTACCTTTGCACATCCACTTATTACATACCCCATTTCATTTGCATTGAAATGAAAATGTGGCTGTCGTAATCCATTGTTATAAATTCTGAGTGTACTCAAAGTGAGAGCATTCTGATGCTTGAAAAAGGAAAAAGAAATAAATCCAGTTATTTAGCAAACATCCTACTCAGCAACTTAACCATTCACATAATCCTAATTATAACTTATCTTTCTGCAGCCCTCACTGAGAACATACAATTTTTTTTATCCCTTATATTTATTGTATCTCTTGTTCCTTATAACAATCCTGTAAGGTTGGTAGTCTTATTCCCCCCCTTTTTTGCAGGTGATGAATTTGAAATGTAGATTGGCTGAGTAATTTACTTAGGGTCGGACAGTGGCGGACCTGGGATTTGAATCAGGGAATTTGATGTCACCGTTGCATTCTTAGTCGTTATGCAAGGCAGCCAGTTGAGCATTTAAAAACAAATGAAAGAGAAATCTCACAAGCATCCAGTCTTTCCATTAATGCAACCATCCATGCCAAGAAGTGAAGCTCCCAAATCCACGCTGTGGCCTCAATTAATAGTTTCCATTAATCAAATCGAGTAATGTTTGACTAGATTTTTCCCTTTCCTTTTTTCCAAAAGAAGGCTGAATCCAGTCTAAATCGTATGTTTCATCAATCTTAATAATCATCAAAAAATTTTTTTCTCGGGGCGCCTGGGTGGCTCAGTTGGTGAAGCATCTGTCTTCGGCTCAGGTCATGATCCTGGGCTCCTGGGATTGAGCCCCAAATCAGGCTCCCTTGCTCAGCGGGGAGCCTGTTTCTCCCTCTCCCATTTCCCCTGCTTGTGTTCCCTCTCTCACTGTCTCTCTCTGTCAAATAAATAAATAAAATCTTTAAAAAAATTTTTTCCTCAATTACCTGATTCAGGAATTCACTAAAAATTTTTTCGTGGTTGCTTAGTTCACTTCCATTTTTCCAGTATTGCGCCAGTTGTATTACTCCTCCTGGAAATTGATATTCTTTTGAACCTGAGTCAGAGGAAATTTAAAAAACAAAATAAAATACTTCATTCAAAATGGTACAGAAGGAGAGCCAAATGTAGTCCCACTAAGGTACATCAGCTCTTCTGTAGTCACAGGAAACATGTGGTAGGAATCACTGCCACCAGATCCTACATGCCCCTAAGATACTGACCTCATACGGTCACATACTGTCTTACCTTCCAAGTTCTGAAATTTCTAACATAGAGTGACCTCTTTAACACAGACTATTCAATGCAGGGGACCTTGCTAGAAAACTTGAGAGTCATTCTATCATTCTACATGTCAATCTTTAGTCCTGCCTCTTTAAGGTAGGTCAGTCCCATCAGTCCTACCTCTTTTAAATTCTCCTGCTTCATAACAATCTTCTCCCTCTCAAAACTACCATAGTGCAGGCCACCATCATCCCTCACTTGAGGGTCTTCAAGAGCCCCCTGACTCATCTCCTTGCCTCTCATCTCTCCTCTTCCAATCCACAATTCAGCTAGATCAGCCATCACTTCAAAAAACTAACACTAACTTAAAAAGATATCTGCACCCCCATATTCATTGCAGCATGATTTACAATAGCCAAGATATGGAAACAACATAAGCGTCCATCAATGGATAAATGGTTAAAGAAAATGTGGTGTATACATACAATGGAATATTATCTAGCCATAACAAAGGATGAGATCTTGCCTTTGGGACAACATGGATGAACCTTGAGGGCATTATGCTAAGGGAAATAAGTCAGACAGAGAAAGATAAATACCATATGATCTCATTTATATGTGGAATCTAAAAACAAAAAACAAGCTCATAAATACAGAGAACAGATTGGCAGAGAGTAAGGTGTCTGTCTGCAAAGTAGGTGGTGAAAGGAGTCAAAAGGTACAGACTTCTAGTTATAAAATAAATAAGTCATGGGGATGTAATGTATAGTATGGTAACTATAGTTAATAATATTGTACTGCATATTTGAAAGTTGCTAAGATCTTAAAAGTTCTCATTACAAGAAAAAAAAATTCTGTAACTATGTATGGTGATGGACATTAACTAGACTTATTGTAGTGATCTTTTCACAGTAATACTGGATCATTATGTTGAACACCTAAAGTTAATGTTTTATGTCAATTAACTTCAATAAAATAAATAAAATAATTTTTAAAAATAAATATAGGGACACCTGGGTGGCTCAGTCAGTTAAGCCCCTGCCTTCGGCTCGGGTCATGATCCCAGGGTCCCACATCGGGTTCCCTGCTGGGCGGGAAGCCTGCTTCTCCCTCTCCCCCTCCCCCTGCTTGTGCTGTCTCTCTCTCTGACAAATAAAATCTTTAAATAAATAAATTAATTAATTAATTAATTAATTAAATAAATAAATGCAAAACCTAATTTAAACTTTAAAACTTAATTTAAAATCTCCTATTTAAAATCCCTTAATTGCTCCCATCAAAATAAAGTATAAACTCATCAGCATGGCTTCTAAAACCTGCATATTTGGACCCTCCTCTCTCATCAGCCTCTTCGCCTGAGGCACCCCTGGCCCCAACACACGCCCCTCATACTTTGAAATCTTCTACAACATTCTCCTTTGCTTCCATTCCTTTTCTCTCATTTCCTATTCTTTAGAGAAATGTGTTTCTTCAAACTCATCTTGACTGTGACCCACTATAAAAAAAAACACGTTACATCTCAATCCAACACCTATATAATCCCATATATAAACACTTAACTATAAAAGTTTTGCAAAATAACATACTATACATTTAAGGTCATAAAAACATTTCCACACAAGACTGTCTGGAGACTGTACATAACTAGGATTTATAACCAGTTCTGCCAAGTTGGGAGGAAGATTGACCGCCTGATCCTCTTTTTGCTTCTGGAATGTTCTAATGAAATTAATTCCACCTTCAGGCTGAAACACATAAGAAATCATATAAGATATTTGTGAAACATTCTACAAATTTTAGTAATAGAAGGGTAGATAGCTAAGGATAGGGTAACATTGTGGTTTTCAGTGGTCCAGTCAAAGGAGCTGACCTCAACCATCCTGAGGCTTGTGATATTCATGAAAATCCTCCCAAGTTTTCAATGCATTTTGGCTTAAAATGTGTTGATATTTTATAATCATTATAACTCTTACAAAAATATACAGTGGTTCTCATATTTACCAAAATTCTCCTAATGACTCATTTTTTCCACTTCTCCCTATAACATTAGGCTTTACATTCGCAGGGCTTGGAAGTAAATCTCAAAACCTCCCTAGATAGATTTCTAAATTTGCCACAGAACTCCTTCCAGTTGCCACTCACAGGCCACCACCAATTCTTCTGATCACCCATTTGTATTGTCAGCATCTGCATCTGGCCCTCTCCCTCTACACCCAGCTCTAGGAGCAGTCCCTCCATGGTAATAGAACTACTTATAGAGACCAAAAGCAGCTTTCCTTCAGGAAAACAATAGGCTCCTCTGCATTAGACTAGGAGAACATAATTATGTCATCTGTAGCAAACTTCTCCCTGAATGAGCTTATGTCTTTTTTTTTTTTTTAAAGATTTTATTTATTTGACAGAGAGAGACAGCAAGAGAGGGAACACAAGCAGGGGGAGTGGAAGAGCGAGAAGCAGGCTTCCCGCAGAGCAGGGAGCTCAACGTGGGACTCAATCCCAGGACCCTGGGACCATGACTTGAGCCGAAGGCAGACGCTTAATGACTGAACCACCCAGGCACCCCGAGCTTACATCTTTTCAGAGATGTAAATTATAGTAATTTTTATTACCTCTATCAAAACTTTTCTACCAATTCATTATAGTTTCCTGTAGAAGTCCTTCATAAAGGAAAGTAAAAGCTAAGTCAATTTCAACAAGTTGTATATCTTTAGTAGGAATACAAGTTATGTTCTTGAACTCATTACCCAACTCTTACCCTACTGACTGCTACCCTAGAAACACAAATACTCACGCTTTCTTTGTGCCTATGTAATGCAAACCCTCAAGGAGGGACTTGTGTTCAGTAGTGATACAGACCTTAAGTGACCTGGAAGCAATGTCTTCAGGTACAGAAAAAAATACATCATCAACATCCAGGGTCTGAAGTTCATCATGTGTGGAAAAGAAGAGCAAAAAAAGCAGTCTTCATTCCCCACATTCTTTATCCAGTGAAGAGTATTTTTAGGGAAGAAGATCACTTGGCCAGCTGTAACATTGTATGTGGTAACTACACCACCATCATCAACCACCCCAATCCATGCCGAGCCCTGAAACATCAACAGAAAACACATACAACATCACTTTAGAGCAATGTTTCTCAAACTTTTCTCATTACATCTCTTATAAGGTACCATTTTAGTCTTTTTTTACTAATCACCATCCTATGAAATGTTAACACTACAGATGTACTGTAAATCTGGGTATACCGTGCATACATAGTGCTTATGTACCACATGCATATCTGTGCTTTGTACATAAAAAAAGTAAGGCGTTGTTACCTTCTAAGGACCAGTTTTTACCCGCCCCCCCAGGGGGCAATATCGCCCCCATTGAGAATTTAGAGTTCTAAGTTCATCCTTTAGAGTTTGAAAAGACTGGGACGCCTGGGTGGCTCAGTCGGTTAAGCGTCTGCCTTCGGCTCAGGTCATGATCTGGGGGTCCTGGGACTGAGTCCCATGTCGGGCTCCCTGCTCAGCGGGGAGCCTGCTTCTCCTTCTGCCTGGTGCTCCCCCTGCTTGTATTCTCAAGCTCTCTTGCGCTCTCTCTCTCTTTCTCTCTCTGGCAAATAAATAAATCAAATCTTAAAAAACAAACAAAAAAAAAAAACAAAAAATAGAGTTTGAAAAGACTACAAGCACATGAGTGTGTGTTCACAGGTGGTCACACTGACATACATGTTTGTGTATGTCCATGTTTCCATGTGTATGTATATGGATGCAAATTATTTTTAGATAAAAAGTCTGCATCCAGTTTTAATAACAACACTAAAAGTAATAACACGGTGCTTTTACTGTGTGTCCAGATATTCTTCTAAGCACTTTACCTGACTTAACTCAATCATCCCTTGTATCAACCCTATGAAGCAAGTACTATTATTACCCTCATTTTATAGATGAGAAACTGAATCTGGAGAGAATATTCAATTTTCCCAAGGTTACTCTGCTAGTCAATGGCAAAGCTGGGATTTGGACCTAAGCTCCAGATCCAAAGTCCACACTTTTTTTAGTTGTGTAAGAACATTTAACATGAGACCGACCCTCTTCAATATTTAAGTGTTCAATACAGTATTGTTAATGATAGATACAATGAAGAACCCTAAAACTTAATTCTCTCGTCAAAATATCTAGAAGTAGAGACTAGAATGGTGGTTGCCAGAGGCTGGGGGGAAGTCTACACTTTTAATCCATACTACACCGTACTTTGATTCCACTTATACAGAATTCTTTTTCTCATTCTCTAATCATTTCTGTAGTATTATTCTGTAAAGTAAATACAAAGGTAATATTTCTTCCAGAGTCGGTCATTAGGGAAGCATGCACAAGAAGTCTTTGTTGTGTCTACACAGACGTGTACAACTCAGTTCCAGATGGGTATTAAAGATACAGGGGGAGGTGAACCTGAAGAGCTCTCTCCAAGTACACAGGCAGAGAACAGCAAAAGTGTGTATCTATTCATATGAAGTTACCAACTACTCCAAACGGACAGCAGAGCCAGCACAGTGGGACATGAACTGCAGGGCCATGCACACTGGCCACCCCAGCTGCCCCGCTCCTCTCGGGGCCACTCCTTCCAAGGCTTTCATGAAGATACTCAGAAACAAAAGCAACATCCATGGGTGAGTATGCAGTAGAGAGACTTCTGTCACATCCTATTGACTGGTTCCTTACCATGTGTGTGAGTGATCCTACAATTTTCCTGGGACCTAAACAACATTCTAGCCACATTTATTTCCTTTATAGAATTTTTTTATATTTTTGTAAGTAAGATATAATTGACTCACAACATTCTATCAGTTTCAGGCATACAACATAAAGATTTGATACTTGTATATATTGTGAAACGATCATCACCAGTCTAGTTTTAACATCCATCACCCTCGCTAGAATTTTTTCTTATGATGGGAACTTTCAAGATCTACTCTCTTAGCAACTTTCAAATTCACGATACAGAATTATTAACTATAGTCACCATGCTGTATATTACATCCCATGATTGATTTATTTTATAACGAAGTTAGTACCTTTTGACCACCTTCTAGCTCACATTTAGAAGATCAGATTATAAACTCTCTCTGGACTTCCAGAACTGCTCCCCAGACTGAGCTGGATTCCAGGCCCATTATCTACTAGAACATGCTCCAGACTAAGTTCCCTACTTGGGGTTTGCTATTAAGGGTCCCCTTCCCCTTACCTGCCTTTCCTTCTTCCTACTACTCAGCCAGAGCCCTGGAATCCAACCTTCTGGAGACTGTCCTCTTTTGTTCTTTTTTTAAGATTTTTTTTTTTTTTAAGATTTTATTTTTATTTATTTGAGAGAGAGAGAATGAGAGACAGAGAGCATGAGAGGGAGGAGGGTCAGAGGGAGAAGCAGACTCCCTGCCGAGCAGGGAGCCCGATGCGGGACTCGATCCTGGGACTCCAGGATCATGACCTGAGCCGAAGGCAGTCGCTTAACCAACTGAGCCACCCAGGCGCCCCCTTTTTTTAAGATTTATTTATTTATTTGAGAGAGAGAGAGAGAAGGAGTGGGGGGGGGGGGCAAAGGAGAGGGAGAGAGAATCCACACTGAGCACGGAGCCTGACACAGGGCTCCATCTCACCACCCTGAGATCACATCCTGAGCCAAACCCAAGAGTCGGACACTTAACCGACTGCACAACCCAGGTGCCCCAAGACAGTCCTCTTTTACATATTCTGTATATGTGGAAAAAGACAAAATGTCAGAAAACATGGACTTTGTCCCAGGCCAGCAAACAACTACAGTTTATCTTTAGAAAAGTCAATCTTTCTGAGCCTCTGTTCTCTCATAAGAAATAAGAAGTATTTGGTCTCAGATGAAACTCTAATCTCTCTTCCCATTGTAAATTCTAAAACTGAATGAATTGCATTAAAAAGGAGTTTTATTAACACCAACAGAAATATGTCACATAACACTGGCTGATCTATTAATAGGATCACCAGGGTAAGACCAAACTGAAAGTGCCATGAGCGTTTAGTCACTACCCCTCTCCCAGTATCTGGAATACAGAATGTAACAATGAATACTTTTGAGAACTAATGAATTATTTGAAATTCAAGTGAGAATGCTCATTTCACCTCCAGCTCTCTTTCACTTGACTCCAGACAATTCTAAAAAGTCTGAACCACAAAAGGGCATCCAATTGGCCTGATCTGAGGGACTCCAGGCTGAACATCAGCAAACTGATTTTTTCCTTAGAAGAAAGCTGCCGGGGCGCCTGGGTGACTCAGTCGTTAAGCGTCTGCCTTCGGCTCAGGTCATGATCCCGGGGTTCTGGGATCAAGCCCCTCATCGGGCTCCTTGCTCAGCAGGAAGCCTGCTTCTCCCTCTCCCACTCCCCCTGCTTGTGTTCCCTCTCTCGCTGTGTCTCTATCAAATAAATAAAATCTTTAAAAAAAAAAAAAAGAAGAAGAAGAAGAAAGCTGCCATCTCTTTGATCACTGGATCAGAGATACGAGTTTTAGCTTTGGCTCAAAGGATGGAACAGTGATCTTATTTTAACAATAGCAAATAAAAATGACTTCATACTGAAGAAAGAAGTTCAAAGTGATGCCAAGAATAATTACAACGAACAGGTTAACGCTTCAAAGCACTGCTAACTAATCTAACTGAATACACCACCAAAGCTTGGGTGTTGTCTGCCACTTAGTTAAGTAGGTTTTGCAACAACTAAAATAATAGCTTGAGGATACAAAGCATAAACACTGAGGCGCCAAACACAGGCAAACCTGTTATACAAGGTAGCCATGTTCATTAGCATTGAAGTGCCAGTGAGGGGCCTGGAGGCCATTGCTTTTTACTCTCAGAGTCCCCAGGGTCATCTGTGATCTCTGACTGTTCAAGCTGCTGCCGAAGGCCTCTTCTTCAACACTGAGGTAGTCTTTGACATTGTTCCTGTACGGGGCCCACTGGATTGCACCACCAGGGAATTCAAACACCTGAAACGTCATAGACAAGCAACCGTCAACATGGAGGCCATCTGAGGAACAGGAGGCCACTGGGGCCTGCAGAGTAAGAGGGAGGCAAAACAGAAAAGGCAGTGGTGAAGAGGTGAAGACTGAAGTCCCAGAAGGGAAGAGGAAGACTAGGTCACCAGACTCCAGGAATGACAGCAGTAATACCTACAGAACTGTCAGTCTATCCATGTTAGACATGAAAAGATCACCTATCTTTTTTTTTTTTTTTTTAAAGATTCCACTTATTTATTTGACAGAGAGAGACAGCGAGAGAGGGAACACAAGCAGGGGGAGTGAGAGAGGGAGAAACAGGCTTCCCACGGAGCAGGGAGCCCAATGCGGGGCTCGATCCAGGACCCTGGGATCATGACCCGAGCCGAAGGCAGACGCGTAACGACTGAGCCACCCAAGCGCCCCAAGATCACCTATCTTGACAAGAGAATAGAGAGCTTTGCGTTTGTCTATCTCCAGGCCTCCCCTCTGGGCTGACCCAGAGCTATCTATGAAAGAAAATCTCTGCCTGGGGCCAATATCAACCCAACCCTTCCTCTCCTCTCTCACCTCCCTTCATCTAGATGGCCCACAGTCGGTTCCTTCCAATGAGGAGAGGACAAAGCTTAGTAAACAGGCAATGGGAACTTTGTTCTGAAATCACCGTTAGAAAAGATGATTCTTTCTGCTAAATGTGTGATTCATACCTTGGATTTAGGCAAATGATTAAGAAACTGGAATTTTGGATCAACAGCCTTTTGCACGATGGGAACCATTGTTTGCAGAGGCCGGGCTTCGAGTCCTAGATGGACTTGTGAATGTTGCTGAGAGCTGTGAACATAAACCAAGGAAAGTATCAGTACTCCTCCTGCTGTGGTAAGGGTACAAGCCAAGAGACACATCAGGAAAACGCTCCACAGTGACCACTGCCTCTTCTCCTAAGGGAAATTATGAAGCCATTATTCTCTACTCTTGATGCATTAACAATAATTGCTTCCTTTCTCAATTTGGCTTATATTTTCTTTTACTCAAAAAATGCCTTTGTAGGGTAAATATACTCAGTAAAATAATACATGTGTAAATATAAGTGTAAATAAATACAAACATACACATACACGTATTCCATATACCTGGCTGACACTCAAATAAATAAGGAAAACAATAAACATATGAAAAGCTGAGGCACAGAATAAATTACTAGAAAATTAAGTAGCCAGTTAAGTTTGTATATAAAATGCATTCGATTGCAGCCAATTAGCCCCTATTTGCCAGTCTCTTCACCTGAAAATGAAAAAGGTTATAAAGACTAGATTCTAAGAAATTTTTAGTTCTAGAATGTCCATATGTAGTAATCACATGTACCGGTAATAAGCATGGGAAACGTAACATACCAGTAAATAACTGGCCTGACAGATCTCAGCCTCCCTCTCCCTCCCTCCTTCACTTAAATAGCTTCGTTAAACCCCCTCTTTCTGTGTATTACCTGTCTGAGTTACTAACCCTACTAAGCACATCTATTCCAACTCCAAGCACAATATTTCCATATATTTCTGTGTTACTATTTCCTGGTTTCACATTACAAATACATTGCTACAAACAACAGTATTATTTCTGTGAGTTACAATCCACATTACTGAAAGCTACCAAACATGCCCTGTTCCTCTGACCACTAAAATGGAATTCGTAAGTACTAATGTCATGGTTTCCTGTCCACTGCCCTCTGAATTCCTCTCTGAGCAGGCATATCTTTGATTACTAATAACTCTAACATAGACTTTAGTATGTCAGCATTCTTAAATGATACATTTTGTATAGAATAATCATTGATCAACATTCTCAGTTTAACATTGTATGAGGATATTATACTGAGCAATAAACAATTCATTAATACCGTGAACAACAATTCATGGAAAGTTGGTCCATTACAGAGCTAACAGAGATGTGAGCTAAGAGTTTATGAGACAGAAAGCAAATCAAGAAATGGTCAGAGCAAGAGATGCTACCTTTCAAAAGAGGGTCATTTGAGGAAAGCTGGTCTAAAAAGGGATTCTTTCCTGAGCTCTGCATAAAGGTTTGGGGGGAGCTAATCTCAAGGTGTAAATCTCCACCTTACCATTCTGGAGATGGTGGTCATCTTCCCCATAGAAAGAGCATTCTGTGCTGCATCTTCATGCATTTCAAATGCTGAGTTGTCCATCCACAAAAAGCAGCAGCCAATTCACTGAAAAAGAAAAAGGGGGGAAATGTAGTTGTAGCCAATGGGAAAATCCCTGAGAGGTGAAAAATGATAACCCTGAAGTAAGGGAGTACTTATATTGAGCTGAAAGTTAAGGAAACAAAATAAGGAAGCTATAATCTTGGTTTAAGAAAAACCCCTAGAAAGAATTGTCAAATTAGAGACCAATAAAACACTTCCGTTGGTCCTCAACTCTTTGCCGACTGATGACGCATACACAGATAATGGTAACTGACGTTTATTTCCTCCTTTCACTGTGTACCAGGCACTGTACTAATCACATACATTATGTGATTGAATTCTTACAGCGGTTCAATCAGGTACTCTGAGTCTTCCCATTTTGTGGATGAGGAAACTGAGGCATGGAGGTGCAGTGACTGCCCAGATGATATTAGCATCAGAGCAAAGCACCAGCTATCAGAAGATTTTTCATGACACTGGTTCTCTACAGAGTTTCAGTGTGGGTGCTTAGTCTAGTACAATCTATTTTCACCCAAACCAGCCCTGCCTCTAAGCAATGGACTGATTTTCCCATGTGCTTTCTTGAATAATCTTGTTACCTGAACGTTAAATCTTCATTCAAAATTCACTTGCATCCTATTTCCTGGTGACAAGTGGTGGCCTGCGTCACCTAAAAACCACGCCTATAATCCACAGCATCATCCATCCTTCTTTCCTATCTTCCTGTCTTCCTCCAGTAAGCATGGCTGAATGCCTACTGTATTCCAGACTGTCTACCACACCTGGGCCACAGCACAAGGCCGTTGAATGGCCTCTAGCAGGAGAAATGGAGAGGAAACCATTACCGAAGACTGTGCTGTGTTATGACAGAAGTGTGCACGAGGCCCTGGGAGGAGAGAGAAAACAGTGATTGTGTCTGAGATGGGACGTCTCCGAAGTCATAATGAGTCCCAACACGGCTTCATGAGGTGGGCCCAGTTAGTCAGTTCCACTCAAGTCCATATTTCTGGCTTGTCTAGAAGCAGCTCTGGAACATATGATAAAGATGTAGACCCTGTCTGGGTTAGGCAGCTCAGGTTCCGACAAGGCTGCAGGTGGTCACCAGGCTGCAGCGAAGGAGAGCTGACCCTGGGGCCTTCCTATCACATCTCATCAAATCTAAGACGCAGCAGTGTGTCATGTTAGTTTAGCCCTTCCCCGGCAAGACCTGGAATTGAAATGAATGGCACTGATTTTGAGGTCATAAAATATTTAAAATAATTGTCTGTGGGGCCAGTAAGGTGACATCATCTTGTTATCAGGATGCCATAAAATACAATGCTTGTCCTGTTTGATGTTCCCTGTGCATTTGTTAACTGGAATGTATTCCACACCTTAGCATCTCTGAAAATGGGATATGTTTTACAGTGAATGGTCTCTAAGACTAAATGAAAGTATGCCACTTTTCCTTGGTCTTGTCAGCAAATGGTACTGTATGAATCTTCAAAGCAAGTTTTACACCACTTTGTATTTTGCCATTTTTCTTTCTCAGAAGTATGAAAACACTGTCCTTTGTCACCAACATTATCTGGGAGCTACATTTAGCATTTATTTAAATGGCAAGAGAAGCAAATCATCAACCAGCTATATGAAAACTCACTTCAGCACTAAATCAAAGAATGCTGCAGCTGGATGAGGGCCTTTTCATTTTTGCAGGTAAGGAAACAGAGGGCAGGGGCCTGGGTGGCGCAGTTGGTTAAGCGTCAGACTCTTGGTTTCAGCCCAGGTCATGATCTCAGGGTCATGATCTCAGGGTCCTGGGATAGAGTCCGCATCAGGCTCCATGTGGAGTCTGCTTGAGATTCTCTCTCCCTCTCCCTCTTCCCTTCCTGCTCATGCTCTCTCACTCTCTAAAATAAAAAAATAAATCTTTTTTTAAAAAGAAGAAAATAGGGGCCAGAGAGGCTAAGCATTTTTCCCTAAGTAACACAGTAAGTCACTGGCAGAGCCAAAACAAATGTCCAGCTCTCTCACTTTCAGCCAGAAATTTTCCTATTTCTATTTGCTGTAGGGGAACTTTATTCCTTTATATACATGTAAATAGTTCAAGGTGAAATGAAGCAAAACAGCTGAAAGCAGGAGTATTATCAAAATCATTTTAAGACACATGAATGTGGGGCACCTGGGTGGTTCAGTCGTTAAGCATCTGCCTGGGATCAAGCCCCGCATCGGGCTCCCTGCTCCGTGGGAGGCCTGCTTCTACCTCTCCCACTCCCCCTGCTTGTGTTCCCTCTCTAGCTGTGTCTCTCTGTCAAATGAATAAATAAAAATCTTAAAAATAATAATAGTAATAAAGTTCTTTTCTATTGCACCAGGATACATCTGGGCAGTCTATTTTTTAACACAAACTAAGACAAACATATTTGTACACTCTCAAGCCCTTATTTTCACTAAGGTTTGCTGCCAGGTTTATTTTTGCTTAATGTTTATCTCCATCACAAGGGCTAGGAGCATACTACAATAAATTTGGCAAGTGCTAAGTGCTGCTGACTGTAAATCTATCAAAGAGGGGCACCTGGGTGGCTCAGTCAGTTGGGTGTCCAACACTTGATTTCAGCTCAAGTCATGGTCTGTGGGTGGTGAGATCTTGCCCTGTGTCAGGTTCTGCACTGGGCTACAGCCTGATTGGGATCCTCTCTCTCCCTTTCCCACTTCCCTATCTAAAAAGCAATATCTGTAAAGGGATAAACTGAATATACATTAAGATACAACTCTTCATTAAATGACTTGAGTTTATTTTCCTGGAACACATCCAATCAGAAAAGAATATTGTTTTCCTTCAATAAACTGGGCCAATTAGATCTTGTATGCCATGCTAGGAGGGAAGAAAAGGCAGTGCTGCTATGTTCCAATAAGAACATTTCCCCCAACTTCCCCCATCTCTAAGTTATTTGCCTTCTATAATCATTCAGGTGGAAAAGACTGATAAGACAGTGTTGGGCAATTCTTTCTGATTATTTCCTTTGAAATCTCTACCAGTAACAAGATTGATCAATGCTTTCATTATGCAAATGTTTCTTATCTGTTGTTCAACTTTCAGATGACCACTGGATATCAGAGATATATGAGGATGTATTCTATCCCAGACACTTTAGAGATTACCAAAATCATAGATGACATAGACCCCTGCCTCAAAGACTCTAAAATGTAATGATTCATTCCATCCAACAAATGCACAAGGAAAATCAAACAGGGAAAATGTAATGTTTTATGGCACCCTGTAAGATGAGGAAATCACCTTACTGGCCCCACAGATAAAACTTAAACAATTATTTTAAATATTTTATATCCTCAAAATCAATGCCATACATTTAAAGTTCAGATCTTAGTGGGAAAAGGCTCAATACATACTCCCCCTGCTCCCACACCTCACCATTATCCATTCCAGAATGTTCTCAGGAGGAACTCTAACATCAAGGTGTTATGTGAGTATGAGCTTCTACAATAAGTGTCAGAGAACACTGGAAATGAGCTCTGAACTTACGAAGGTAAGAAAATGAGAATATTCTATTCATTCAACTCTACATGACAATCTGATCTTAAACTAACCTTGCTAAATCAGTTTCCTCATGTGTATAAAATTAAGGCTAGATTAAATGGCCTTATGACATTCTAGCTCTACCTACTTGAATTGAGGATGTAATTATCTTTGAGAAACAGCATTAAACTGCTAGCTTCCCAACACTCCCATTTTTTCAAGATTCCATTGACATAATGATTCAAGATATTCAACATTCCAATTTTTCTGCAAAATAAATTGCTTCATATGTAATTTATAGTGCCAATCTAACAGAATATTAACAGAGAAAGATAACTCCAGGAAGGCCACTGAGTGATTATATGAACAACAAAATCAACTGAGTCCAACTCCAGAAAACTTATTATAGCTGAAGGGGAGCAAATTTTGCCACCCCAAGATATGCTTCTTTGGCATATTGGTTATTTTAAGCTGGTTATTTTTAAGAAATAGCAGAAATAAGAGAAAGTCTGAAAACCAAGTAGACGTTACCCTTCTGTAAAAGGTATTTACATTCCTAAGGGAAATCTCATTTGTAAGGGTATTTCTCCCTTGCTATGACAGGAAGGGGGGGAAATGACTCAATCTTTAGAAACTCTTATCTAGGAGAAGGCATGGAATTAAATCTGCTTAACAATCTTACCCTTATTTACTGCGTTTTTCCTAGTAACCTCCCATAACCAACCCCCCCCAACCCCAACATCTTCTTTTGTCTTTAGCTGAGGATAGTATTTAAGGTGATGGTTTCAGTCATTATGGGAATTACTCAGTTTTTCTGGGTCTCTTCCATGTGTGCTGGAGGTATATGTGTTATTAAAAACTTTGGTTTGATTTTCTCCTATTAATCTGTCTCATGTTAATTCCTAGACCAGCAGAATAATCTTGAAGGGCAGAGAAAAAATTTTCCTCTCCAACACAGCTCAAATGCATTAATTCAACAAATATTAACCAAATGCCCCATATATGCCAGGTGTCATTCTAGTTGCTTGGGATATATCAGTAAATGAAAAAGACAAAAGTTCCCTGCCCGTGTGCAGGTTATATTCTAGTAGAAGAATCAGAACAAACATTTAAAAAAAAAATGGTAATTTACATTCTACATTAGAAAATGGTAAGTGTTATGGGGAAAAAATAAGCAGGGGAGAAGCAGAAGTGTGTGGTATGGGAGGGAGCAATTTCAAGAAGGTGATCAAAATTTCCTAGAAAAGGGCAATTCAGCTTTTTTCGGTGCCAAGCTATGTGCCTATAAGAAAGGAATATAAATTGTGTCTTTCTTACTCTTCAGGTAAATGAGTACTAAAAAACAAAATTCAACAGAGTAAATTTGAAGATCTAATTGGCTTTATTAAATGATTCATGAATGGGCAGTACCCCATCTGGCAAATACAGGAGAGCTCCACTGAGCTAAACAAAAGAAAGGTTTTCAAAGGCAGAGAGAGGGCATAAAAAAAGAAGGAATTTATTAGCATGGAATGCATTGTTTAGGCAAGGTTGCCCTCTTAAGAGGAGCTCAAGGGGTCTATCAGTAAATTTTCCTTGTACTGACCAGGAAATTCCATGATGACTGGGTCAAGGTTACATTCTTGGGGGGTTGAAACTACAGTTAGTTTAGGTATTAAGTCTTGGTTTACTGACTTGGGGCCTTAATCTAAGTGATACTACTGTTTTGGGCCTGTGGTTTTCTTTTTAACACAGCCCATAAACTTCGATCCTCTTTTTTTTTTTTCTTTTAATTCACAAGGCTTTGGAAGAAAATGTATAAATTATTTCTTTAAAAACAACAAACCTTCTATAGCTACAATTTCATCTCCTGTCTGTGTGGGCCCTTGATGTCTCTAAATACAGCAAGCGTCTTCTGAATGTGGTTCACTGTTCTTTACCACTCACCTGCCAAGTGCCATTTCCTTGCTCCCTTCTATCTAATCTAACACCCCCAGAACTACATAAGTGCCCCTATAACACATTCTCAGAACATTCTGTATGTTTCATTTGAAGTTCTCATTTCAGTTAATGGTTAAATTATTTGTTACATGAATGCTTCCACTACCAGATTAAATTATTTGTTACATGAATGCTTCCACTACCAGATTATAGACCACATGGAGCAGAGACATAATCATCAAAGCCTAGCATAATACCTGGGGCATTTAGTAGGCATACATGAGTAAATAAATGACTCATTCTTACATGATCTTTTACATTCCATTACCTACTAGTGACCAATGCACCCAGCCTTCATCAGTCTCCCCCTGTCTTACCCTTCTAGAATACTGTTAAATAGGAGAAAATCTAAGTGGTCAATGAAACCATATACAGAACAGTTTTAAAAAACAAAACACAACAAAACAGGTATGGTATAGCAATATAAGAAACATCTGTGTAGGGGCGCCTGGGTGGCTCAGTTGGTTAAGTGACTGCCTTCAGCTCGGGTCATGATCCTGGAGTCCCTGGATCAAGTCCCGCATCGGGCTCCTGCTCAGCGGGGAGTCTGCTTCTCCCTCTGACCCTCCCCCCTCTCATGTGCTCTCTCTCAAATAAATAAAATCTTGAAAAAAAAAAGAAACATCTGTGTAAATTCATGTATACATTCCGAGCTCTGTCACTACTAAAAACAGTCCAACAACATCTGTAGTTGTAGAGAGGGAGAATCTTAA